AGTTTCTGGAACTCTTAGTGGTTCCAGTTGATCATGTACACAGAAATACCGTAATAATCCGACTTCAAAGGCTCGTCTTGTAACTTTTTGAAACAAAATATGTTTTGATTGATTTCTGCTTGGAAATTGCAACAGATAATTATGAATCTCAATCATCACTCATTAGTCCGTAGTTGCAGACAACGCCAACTGTTGCCAGCTAGCGTCGAGTATGAATGTCGTACAGGGTTTACTGTCGGCTGTTACTCCGCTATCCGATGGTGATTTTGCTGATCGCCTTAACTACTGCGTAACCACCGTCGGCTTGGTATTAACGTCCGCGTTCATTTCTGGATGGAGGTACTGATTGCTGTCAATTTGATTTTTGATTCATTTAGTGATAGCCTTGTTATAGCTTCGTCGGCTCCCCCATCCAATGCTGGTTCCCAGCTTATTACAAAGGTAAATTTGTTTATTTAAAGCCTTTTCGATACGTTTTTACTCAAAATATGATTCTTCAAAAAAAGTATATCGACATAATATAATTCAGGAAATTTATATTGGCTATCATTAGCTCTAAATAATTCCTATAATTTAATAAATTCCAGATTTTTGAAGTTTGTCATAAAGTTGCATATCATTTGATCAGTTTTCGAATTTTGAGACGACAACCTTTTTTTAGATAAAATTGCAAATTTTGATTTACTAACAAATCATCTGTCAAATTATCTAAAAGTAGTTATGTGGATTTACTTTAAGTCTGCATTTATACTGCCTAGTTAAACTTCTGTTTTTTTTACTGATCAAGCATTGCTCCAAAATAGCAAAATCCATACTTTAAACTTTTTTATATTTCTAAATTTTATCTTCTTGTAACTCGTTTGAAGGCCTTAGGTCTTGCAAATTCAATTTTTACCATGATTTTACGCATCATTTTATCTCCATGCAACGATTTTTCCTCCTGTTTTGCATGACATATTATCGAAGCGTCGCTATCTTCCCATACAAACAGGCACCATTGGTTTTCTGCTATTCTTTCTTTGTCAGTTACATCGATCGCTTGCATTTTTCAGGATGGTGGATGGAATACGCATTAGATTATTGTTATGTACAAAATACGTATTTTGTACCGATGACGGACGTAAAAGTTCACAATGCATTCGATTTTGCCAGTCATATGGTGGAATTACCGACAAACTATGCTGAACGAGATGAAAAACAGATTGGTGGGTTTAGATTCTAATTTAGAGGAATGAAATGGTTGAATTGGATGGAAAAGTATGTTTAGGATATTACCAGTGGGTACCGTTTATACTTGCCGCGCAAGCGATATTGTTCTATTTGCCAGTAGTAATTTGGCGATCAATTTATGAAAGTTCTGGTACGTCTTAATTATTTCAAATCTGTTTATTAACCGTTAATGGCTCTAATCTCTTCAGGGTTCAAAGTGAAAGCAATCTGCGAGACTTGCAGTATGCATGCAAATATGGATGA